TGCATACATTGTTTAACATTTTGGCACTTCCAAACATTGTTTTGTGCACAATACATGTATTCAACAAACACAACTCTAACATTCACAACTTCCAAACGACCCTTAGTGAACAGTAAATGGTATTCCTCTTTATATATATATATATGAAAACGCTATCTAGACCTCGAATTAGCAGGATTTTTGGGCATGATACTATACCCTAACCCTTAATGAGTGAACCCTAGGTCCTAATTATCTAAATCATAAACTAAAAACCCTAAGATGGTGTATTACTTTTTTTGCCTATATTTGGACGAATCATAATCGTTGATTATTGTTTCTAATTAAATTGATCTTGGGGTATAAGATTTAGAGAATTAAGACCTAGATTTTGATCTTTATGGGTTAGAGTATAGTATAATGTCTGAAAGATCAGTCAATTCAAGTTCTAGATAACGTTTTCTCACTTAAGGTATGCGGTACCCCGGATTTCACCCGGGGTACCGTAGAACTCCCCATATATATATTAATATGTACTATAAAAGAATTTGCACCTTTATTTCATGGTACAACATCAAATTATACCATAATATAAATGTACAAATTCAGGTTGTACCATAAAAGAAATTAGGGTAATGTCTATTTTTTATCCAAAGCTTTTTCAGATTCTTTTTTATTATCCAAACATATCTAAATACTAATAATTAGCCAAATGATGACTTCCAGTTAGCAATTTTGTTAGTAATATTGACTTGACAACATGGTACTGATTTGGAAGAGACACATGAAAGTCAACATTCCAAAATTTTATTATTTTAACTAAGAAAAGAGTTATAAATTTATTAACGATTACGTAAAAATGGCTAATATTTTGATGCATTATGAAAGATTTGGCTAATTCATAGAATTTAATGTTTGGATAATATAAAAGAATCTGGAAAATGTTTGGATAAAAAATAGACATTACCCAAGAAATTAGACAAAATAGTATAGGTACAACTTCGTAAAGGCAAAAAATTAAAGCACTAATATTTTAAAGCATTGTGAAATTCATTCTACGAATCTCTTACCGATGACATTGCATATAGTGTGATGTGGTTGAAAACTGCTAAGGTAGTTTGGGATAATTCGAAAAATATATCCAGCCAGGAGGATAACATTAGAGTTATTAGTTTGTAAGAGAAGTTGTTTAAGTATATTTAGGGAGAACAATCAGTGAATCAATATTTAACCTCTGTCATTGTGTTGTACATGGGAAGATACAAGAAGTATAGAATTATTCCCTTATGTCCTTGTAATGGACCATATGAAACCATGAAGAGGTTAGATATAATGGTTTTGTAACACGTTAGGAGAATCCCACATCGATAAAGCAAGAGAGAGATCCATGGTTCATAAGTAAGAAACCGACCTCAACTGACAAGACGCGTTTTGGGGTGAAATGGAGGAGTTCTTGTGAGAACTCCGAAGCTAAACATGTTCAATGTGGAGTACAACAAGGATGGGTGCCCTTATGAGAAGTCACCTTGAATTGCACCCCAAGTCAAAATCCATGAGGGTCGAGGACCAAAGTGGACAATATCTTGCTCAGAAAAAGGTCCGGAATGTTACAGATTTTGTGATTAAGTTTATGCAAGGCTTAAATGCACCGTATCAGTTAATAAGAACTCGGGTTCTGTTGAACTCAATACTACCGTCCACTGATGTTGTGTTTAAGCAAATTTTGCAATTGGAAAGCAAATGAAAGGTGTTGCGTCTGTTGCACTAGCAGCTGTCAAGAACTAGTTAGTCTCAATAACTCGAGTTGTTGGGAGAGGTTCAATCATGTATCATATATCATTTACTAACACACCCCCTCAAACGAAAGCCAGCATAGATGGGAGTCATCAGGATTCGAACAGAATACCTCTCGGTCACTGAAAGCTCTGATACCATGGCAAGAACCAGTTGGTCCCAATAATTTGAGTTGTTGGAGGAGGAGAGAAACGTGGTGGCGACGCGTTGGGAGGTCGAGAGGGAGAGGGAGAGGGAGAGGGAGAGGTGGATGGAGCCCCAAGAGGTGGTGGCGGCGGCGTCATAAACGCTGACTCTGGAAGGAAAATGATGGTGGGTGAGTAAGAGAAGGGAAGGTGGAAAAATCACTTTCGTAGTCTGCCATAACTTGGTTCTGGTCACCAGATTGGAACAGAAGAGTGTGACGAAGAATCAAGGCTGAAAGAAGTCGAGGGAGAGGGAGACGAGGAGCCTGTAAAGAGGGTGCAGGTGCGGCAGGTGGAGGCAGAAGGATCTGGATTTTTTTCCTAGTAAACAAATTATTTATTGTAAAATAATTTTTTCATAAAATTATAAATTACACATATTGCTGATGTGGTAGCTTATGTGGCTAACATGTAGGCGCCATGTCATTATAGCCAAATCAAATTTGACCACCGTTAGGTCAACTGTTAAACTTAATGGTCAACAAAATATTTGGGCTACAAATGATCTCAGACCTTAAACTTTGGGACATTTCGTCATATTAAATACTTTAGGATGCAAGTGTCCTTTTTTTATTGTTGGGATATTCTAGTGGAATTAGCCTTTACTTATTGTTTGAAGATGGAACTGGATTACTGTTTTATCAAGTAGATGATTTTCCATGTTAAGTATCTCTTCGAGACATAGAATTATTAAATATATATTTAATAATAGTGACTAATCATCACAATAATATAATTCTCTCACTAAGATAGTGATTTAATCAGAATCGAACAAATCAAAAGTTGTGACTAAATAAACGAAAGTAGTTCCAGCATTGTAAATGATTATGATTTAGATATTAGTTCTCTAAATCTTATACATTACTTTTATTGTAGGTCGGTCATTTGTTCAATTTGGAATTTCATCTCTTGTTTGGTTTCAGTTCCTTTATTCAAATCAATATCTATTATTTTAATTAGAAATAATAATCCATGATTATGATACGTCGAAATACATTCAACAAACTACTTGTACTATGTTAGGTTTTAAGGTTTATGATTTAGATAATTAGAACCTAGAATTCACCCATTAAGTATAGTATATTATCATTACTAAAAATCCGATTGATTCAAATTCTAGATAATATTTTCTTTCTAAAATATGTGGTAGTCTAAATTTAGGCTAGCAACCATATATATTAGAGTGACAACCAGATCAGCTGGTATATATCATAACACTATATATCTTCTAAGCAAGTGTCCTTAAGTGAATAACTTATTCTTTGAGAATTAAAATTAATCAACCTATCTCGAATTCTCGATTGATTGGGAAGTCGATCTAGTGCACAACTTATCGGCGTATAACCATGTATAATTCTATATTTATTATTTGCGGAATGCTTTTATAACTATTTTTTAATAAATTTTAATTGGCTACTTCTCTTTTGTTTTAAGTTAAAAATAAAAACGAAAGCGGTGAGGAAGTATGGGGCGTATGAAGTTTTTTCTCATAATATATTAAAGATAGATTTCATTTTGAGATCAAAACAAAACCATTCCATCTGTGCAAAGAATTTCGAAATCCAAGTTAGAATGACGAAGAGAAAAGTTGATTATAAAAACTAGGAAAACTAGAAAGTTTTGTTTTAAAATTCTCAATGCTTAGATCTGGCTCCACTTGAAATTAAGGGTATTACACGACCCACAGTAGCGTGGGCGGGACATGTGTATCTACTTGCGATCCGCCTTGCCCGCACCGCCTCGTTCTTGGCCAATTATATTTTTTCTTCAACTAGTTAGACTTGACCTGCAAACTAGTGTATCTACTTGAGATCCGCCTTGTCCGCACCGCCTCGTTCTTGGCCAATTTCTAACACTTTTCTTCAACTAGTTAGACTTTACCTGCAAACTAGTTAGACTCAATTATTCATTATATTATCACTTTTTCATTCATAAAATGTTTTCCCCCTTCGTTGAATCATAAAAAGTAAAATTTTGTGTGTATTTTTTTCAAATAAAATATAAGGGTGAGTTGACTCACCCCGCTCCATGCCCACATAGGTATTACCCGTCCCTACTAAAAAAACGTGGACCGCAACATATGGATTAAGGTAAGTACCCGCCCCGCCCCATTATCATCATTAATTATGCACCCTATTCTAAACTGATTGACTACATAATAATAAAGGCTTAATTGCAAGTTTGGTCACTCGAATTGCTATAAAACTTCATGTTTGGTCACTCGAATTGATTTATTCCATTCGTAGTCACTTAAATTAGTTTAACAGTCCAACTTTGGTCACTCTCCGTTAACCTCCGTCAAACTCCGTTAGTAACGTCAGTTAACTGCTGACGTGGCTAACAGAGGTGCTTAGTCATCCTATTTAAACAAAAAAAAAAAAAACATGCCACATCATTAACCCTCCATATTTTAAAAGTCCACCCAAACCCAATCAACCCCTGACCCGAGCCGAACCCCTGAACCGACCCATTCACCTGTTCCCCGTCTTCTTCCCCAGCTCCGACCCCATTCAATCTCCCAAACCCTATTATTGACGACGGCGTCTTGGTGATTAGAGACAAATTAAGAATGCTCACCGTCCTGAACTCATCGAAATTCACCATCCCGTCGCCGTCGGCATCGACTCTCCGGATCATCTCCTTGTAGGCTTCCATCCGCTTCCCTTCCTTCAATCCCAGCGACGACAGCACCGACCCCAGCTCCTCCACCGTGATCATCCTGTCCCGATCCCTGTCGAACACCTCGAACGCATCTCTCAATTCATCTCCTCCGACGCCGCCGCTGTCAATTTTGATTTCCTCTGCCTCCAGATTTTGTTTCTACACAGGATTTTAAACTCTTCGAAGTCAATCAGCCCGTCGCCGTTGGAATCCACCTTCATCACCATCTCCTCCACCTCCGCCTCGATCACGGAGATCCGGATGTTTTTCAGCGACTCCTTCAGCTCCTGCTTCGTGATGAACGCGTCGCCGTTCTTGTCGAACGTCACCTTTTTGGGTTTAATTTACAGACCCTCAGCTCCTGGGTTCTTAATTAACCACATGGACGGCAGCTTGGGGTTGGTGAGCCGACTCTCAGAGTTAGTGAATGAGATTTCTGGGCTGTCCGATTGTGGAAATGTGTGCAACAAGATGCAGGTCAACTTGGTGAGACGAATTGAACTCTTGGGACCCATGTTTGAGGAATTGAAAGATGTCAATGAAGAGCTGAGCGAGGAAGCTGCTGGAGGGTTTGAGCTATTGAGAATTGCTCTGGAATCATGATTTTGTGGCAGTAATGGCGATGAGGAAGAGAGCGACGGAGCTCGCCGGGATGGCTCGGCAAGCGGTGGAGAGCGGCGGATCTTCTTATGAAAATGTTACGCGGTGCTTTGTGGGGACTTGAGAGACGGGGAGGAGCAAGCTCGGAGGCGGCCTAGTAGGGCGTCGACGGCGACGAAGAGCAACGGGGGATCTGGGAGATTGAATGGGGTCGGAGCTGGGGAAGAAGAGGGGGTAGGAGAGGAGGAACAGGTGAATGGGTCGGTTCAGGAGTTCGGCTCGGGTCAGGGGTTGATTGGGTTTGGGTGGACTTTTAAAATATGGAGGGGTTAATGATGTGGCATGTTTTTTTTTTTTGGTTAAAATAGGATGACTAAGCACCTCTGTTAGCCACGTCAGCAGTTAACTGACGGTACTAACGGAGTTTGACGGAGGTTAACGGAGAGTGACCAAAGTTGGACTGTTAAACTAATTTAAGTGACTACGAATAGAATAAATCAATTCGAGTGACCAAACATGAAATTTTGTAGCAATTCGAGTGACCAAACATGAAATTTTGTAGCAATTCGAGTGACCAAACTTGCAATTAAGCCTAATAATAAACTTAACAGTTAAGCAAGAAAATGAACGCACAATGTGGAGGTGATCATAATTAGAAATGCCTAAATGCATGGAGGATAATCAGGCTAAAACGAAGGCATAAATCTCGCTACCATGTGAGATAAAGGGTTATATATATATCATGGTTGTCAAACCCCTATCGGACCCCTGGTTGGACCAGGTCCGACCTTAGTCGGGCTTCAAAACGGCCTACAGAAAGTCCCCGGTCTGACCCCTAAAGAGGGAGAAGAAGAGAGGGGGAAGAGAGGAAGAGGAACGAAGAAAGGGAGATGGTGGGTGAGTCATAGAGGTTAGGTAGATTTAAGCGGTGGAAAATAAGTTGTTAATAGATACATGTATGATAAATTTCATTTCAGTCATTAAATCTTTAATTACTACCTTATTTATATATATATCTTTAGAAAACGTCTACAATGGCTCAAACCGGCCGAACCCCGATCAGACCATTAAATCTCAAACCTCTTACTTGACCGGCTCAACGAGTTAAATCGGTTTGACAACCTTGATATATATAGACCCTTGCCTTTGTTTAATTAGCACCATTGTCATTTGTCCCTCTTTATTTACTACCTGGAAAAACAAGTTTCATAAGTGAAAACTTAGCAATTTATGTTTTGTATCGTTATTTAAAACAGGAGAAATGGTTATTTACAAGCAGTAATTATCTTGATAATATACAAAAATTGAAAAAATATACAAAAGTAAAAAAATGTCATAAATTATTCAATATCAATTTTTGAAACCACAATACTAGACCAACCGCTTGTAAAATATTGTCTATGTTTGTCCGACTTTTAGAAGTGCTTTTCGGTTTCAAAAGCTGAAGCATGGCCAAGCACCTCTAAAAACTCAACTTTTGAAAAGACAAAAATGCTTTTTATAACATAAAAACAGAAGCTCGAATTTGAATCTTCTGCGAAATATCATTTTGAAACAAAAGATTATACTTACTATATTTTAATTTTATTTCATAAAATATAATTTTGTTTTATTTATATTATTTTAAAAATAAAATAAATTATAAAATCATATTATTTAATATAAAAGAAATCTAAGAAGATCCATTTTGACTACTTTTTATTGTTTAGAAGTTTTATTCATATTTTATATTATAAGTAATTTATAGTCATTTTACACAACCTCTCATACTAAAAAGCACTTCTGATAGTTTGTCAGCCAAACACTCAACTGCTTTTTTTGAAAAATATTTCGCTAAAAGCTCAAGTTAGAAGCTGCTTCTGCAAAAGTTACAACATGACCAAACTAACCCCATTAACATTAATAGCTTTTTTGTCACAATTTACCTGGATCATCTGTTAATTCATACTTAGTTGTACCTACAATTAATTTCAAAATATGGTATGAGAGAAATATATCGTCTATATGTTCATAGCTCTTCAAAATTATAATTATATTATATTTGAGCTATTAGGTGTGCCACTTGATTATTTCTTCTTTCACTCTATATATTTCCATTCTGCATCACATTCACGCGTTATTATGGAATTCACATAATTAGATTGATTTTAGCCCGTTCATTGCATAAGGTCAAAATGAATCATTTTGGGTTTGGCATGTAGTTTGCCAATTGTTGCATATGCCAAGAGGAAGCGTGAACATTTGAGGCAACGCTTCTTTCTTATAAATAAAATTTGGTCTATTGGTTAGCCTTGTTTGTAGAGCATTGATCCAATCAATCCACTTAAACTAAACTCACTAAGAGTTTTCAAAAAAATCAATTAGACAAATTAAACTAACCACAATTGTTAAAAGAACAATTGGTTGAAATGAGTACGTCATTGATGTCGAGCATTTTTTTCTTTGAAATATAATAAGTATTATAAATTGAGTTGAAATGAAGAATATATGAGTCATTTTTTTTAAGTAAAAAATGATAGAGAGGGTGACATGTGGAGCACTCTAGTTATCTAAAAGATTGATTGATTTTTTTATTTATAAGCTTTAGTTTTAATTGATGACTAATGTGTTCTTACTACACTCACTCTGTTTGGAGGATTTTTTGAAATGAAGAGAAACCAATATTTGAAACTCCATCTTACACATGATATTTCTCACAATGCAAAGACTATGTAAAAATGCACTTCAAAGATGTTGATCGTTTTGATAAAACGGCACAACAAAAGAGATGAGTGGAGAGTTGAGACACACATGCACTACAAATTTAAACAGCGAATGATGTGGGATTTTGAAAATACCCACCTAATATCCATTTCAAGGATCGAACATACAGAAGACATATATATATAGCAAACTTGATAACTATCTGACTAAGGAAAAAAAAACTTGATTACTATAATCATTATATGGTCCACGTGGCTTCATTTAAGTCTTGTTTTTATTGTTGCTGATGAATGCTCTAGTCTTCATTTACTTTTTCTGCTTCTGGTCTTTCTATGCCAAATATATAAAGCAAATCTTTTTGGTCTTTGTATCGATAAAGCAAAAAAATGAATAGTAAAATTAAAGAGTAAATTTGTTTGGAAAAGTTGTCTGGGAACAATGTGTCAAAGCTACTGCCAATGCTACTTTGGACTCCTGACTCCAATACACTAGCACCGCGTTTTATGGTGGTTTATCTAAAAACGTACATGTTAATTATAAATACAAAGCACTTTTATTTTAAATGAATGTTGATGTTACGAGAGAACGAAATAAACTTTTCAGAAATCGTTAACATTAGCATAGAAATATATTTTTCGATTGAATAATTATTTTTCAAAATTTTGGAGGCACATTATAAAATATATAATAATGAAATTAAACATTGTTAGTTGTCCAATCCATATTGAACCGAAGCTAATTATACTTAACATATAGTTAGGAGTAACCAAAAGTTACTGGAGATAGTAAATCTCATTAAGGAATGAGAACACATAGTTATTTCATGTAACCATTTCCTTGCGCAATTAGTTTCATCCCTAGCTAATAATTAGTGATTTAAGTTGATTAGTAGTTAACCATTACTTGGAAAGTCAGTGACCAACCCCAAGGATTGAAATATCCAAAATAATATTCGAAGTTAAGGATGAAAATTTGGTATCAGTATTTGGGATACAACAAATACCACATCGAATTTATCATTTTTTTTGTATTATCGATTACCAAGTTAATTTTTTGCTTTAGATTTATTTTTTAGTAGTATTAGATATTCGAGATAAGTGATTGGAATTGATACAAAAAATATCAAGCAATAAAAAATTAAACATGATAGAATAAATCTTTCCTTAACTTAGTGAGTCTCAACCCCCTCGCAAATAAATAAAGGTCATGGTTTCCGCTTGACCAAAGTTTTGTAATCAACTAGGTGATTGTGAGAAATGACTAATTCTTGTGACTTGTGTTATGCTCATTATGAAATATCTTATGGGTCGTTTGGATAAGGGCATTTGGGCATGGAATTTGGATCAAATCTGGCCCGTCCAGGAATTTAAGCAATATCTTTGTTTAGATAGCTCTAAAAACAATCGAGATTTGGGCGTCCGAAATTCTCAAATTCGGCCCAATTCGGAATTGAAAATAGCTGCCACCCCATATATTTTAAAATCCGACACTAATTATTTTGTTCTTCCCAACATGTTCCTGCTATATTTCCATTAATTCATCTGTCTTCACATCTTATTTCCCATCTCCCACCAGCAAATGACGACGACTTCACGACTATAGCAAGAATCCCTCCACCATCGATTGCAATCCAAACCCTCAATTCCTTCGACCTCATCCTAATCAACACCTTTGATTGCTCTCCCTCAACTTTCTGTTGATCGAAGACGGCATATTACCAAGGTTGGGCCGAGGGGAGAACACAGAGAGGAGGAATCGATCTAGGATCTCAAGCGAAGGCCATTTGAACCGTAGAGAAGGTCAGAACCCAGGGCGAATCACAAAGAGATAGATTTGGGGTCCCTGGCGAAGATGCATCGAACCATAGAGAAGAAGGTCGGAACACATGGTGAATCATAGAGAGACAGATCAGGGGTATCTAGAGACGGGTGGCGAATCACATAGAGGAAGGTCGGAGAGCCGCTATCGACCAATTAGGAACCGTAATTGCTAAGCTCTATTTTTGGATTGGGGAGAAGAAAGGACTTTGAGGCGGCACGACTATGGTCGAGGGTCTGGGTCACGATCTCCCTCCCTCTGATCGACAAGGGTGCGATGGTAAGTCATTGAAAAGGATCCCAATCACCATAGATCTAGCTCCGCCATCACTCCATCGATTTACCGGTCGAGATTCTCTGAAAGCAACTGCTGGTAATTCTCGTTGCCAATGGAAGAAAGAATATGGTGCAGTGAAAGTGAAACGGTGAAGAAGAGGAAATGATGGGGGAAGAAGAAGTTACAGAGGAGAGGAATAGCCGAATAAGAGTGGGGGAGAATAATTGGATTTGGGTAGAATTTTAATTTTGAGTTGTTCCAATAAAAACCTATATTTAATCCAAACATGTTATGTAACTACAATCCTGTCAGAATATGACTTGAATTTGATTTGAGTTTGTGTTTGCTCTTTGTTTTGACTTTTTCCTTGTATGTTTGGGAAAAGGTGTTTGGTTTTCTGTTTGGGATTAGGAGAAGAGTTCTATAAATACTCTTCATCATCCTAATATGTTGTAAGGTCAGTTAGGTTAGTTTGTTTGGTTTGTCCGTTCCGGAATTTGGTTTCTAACTTGTACTCTCCTCAAATTAGTGAAATTAGTTTTCCCCTGCCCGTGGATTAGCTAGCACTAGGGGTGTTCAAATGGTTATCGTGGTAATAACCAAACCAATAAAGCTTAAATTTCATTAACTATGGAATAAAATATTTTAACCAACCATCCAAATTAACACAAAAACCAAATTAACCAAACCAAAGTTTAATTGGTTTGGTTAATCGGATAATCGGATTAACCAAATAACATAACACTACATGAAAACAATTATCTTGTTAATGTATAAAACATAACTGTATGTTATTTCTATCATAAACTATCATTATATAGAAGCAATAATAATAAGACTAACAATCCATAATTATCATCATATTCGAGTCAATACATCATTCATCATCTCTGCACCTAATATAGTTAGCTTACAACAAACCCTTAACATAAATAGTAAATACATACCAATACCACTCACCAGGAAGTTAAAAGCTCTCCTACAAAACACTTAAACTATACATAGTTTGAGGTGGTTGTCATGGTATTGTACGTAATCCTAAAGTCTAGTAGTTGTCCAAATTGTTTTTGGTTTGGTAAATAGGCAAGCCATCTTAATTTTTGACCCATAATGCTTTGGTTTGTTGTGCACATGGAAATAAAATAGGGAATCACGAAAGTTTGGTTTGGTTGGTTGCATGAAAGTATAAATAATTTTGTATATTAGCCTATCAGGTGTATCATTAATTGGTTTTATTGGTTAGCAGTGTTGAAACCAAACCAAACCACCTAAACCAAATAAGCAAAATTGTTTAACGAAACCAAACCAATTATCCAAATTAACCAAACCAAATTAACCGAATAATACTAGTTAATATGGTTACCACGGTAACCAATCCGTTTGAACACCCCTAGCTAGCACACATTGTGTTACTGAACCACGTTAAATTCATGTTCATTTGGTTTGATCTGGATTATCGATTGCACACTTCTGTTTTGACAAGAGCATTGTTGAAACAATAGGGTTTGTGGGCACCGTTGTCTGAAAAAACAAAGAAAAAAAAGCATAGATGAAGAAGAGTGGAGTATTTTGGAGGAGAAAGCTCACTCTACAATCTTGCTTTGATTGGATGATGACATCATCACGGAGGTTGCTGTTGAGAAGACTGCTGTGGGCTTGTGGTTGAAGCTTGAAAGTCTATACATGACAAAGTCTTTGACCAACAAGTTGCATCTGAAGCAACGTCTGTTCAGTTTGCGTATGGAGAAAGGTATGTCTCTCAGGAATCATCTAGATCAACTCAATACTATCTTGTTAGATCTGCGGAATATTGATGTTAAAGTAGATGATGAGGATGCTGCCTTAATTTCGTTAGTATCTTTGCCACAGTCATACGAGAATTTTGTGGATTCTTTTATTGCTGTGAAAGATAGTTTGTCTTTGGAAGATGTCGGATCTGCTTTACATACTAGAGAGATTCAATATAAGGCGTCTGGTTCTGGTTCGGAAAATCAGGCATCTGGGGTTGGCTGCTATGGGTAGTAGGAGATGACAATCTGGAAATAGGAAGGCGAATATAAATTCGAATTTTGTTGGTTTGAAGGATAATATCTGTCATTACTGTAAGGAGAAAGGACATTGGAAATTTGATTGTCCTAAGCTAAAGAAATATCAGGAGAAGAAGGAATCATCTGATGGTGGAAGAAGAAACTAACTCTGATTCTGAAGATGGTTTAGCCTTAGCAGTGAATGAACAGGTACATCACCAGAATGTGTGGTATTTAGATACTGTAGCTGAATGATTTGATTTGTTGACCGCCCTCAGGGGCATTTGGAGGCAGCGGAGAGTCTGTCACATTTGGAGATTTGGAAAGATTGTTACGTTTGGCGATTTTGATTGCATCTGCGTATGGCGATTTGCATTGCGTTTGAGTTTGGCGATATGTATCGCGTCTAGGCTACACCTGATTTGGCAGATCCGAGAAGGTGGACCTCAGTTTGGTGGGACCCTGTCATTCGGTAACCTCATGATTTGAGATATGCGTTTGTTTGGCGGATCAAGTGAGATCCGCATCGGGGAAGGAGATCAAAGAGAATCCTGCGTTTGGAAAATCCTTGAACCGAGAAGCCCATGGATACAAGTTTTCTGGCGGATCAAGATAATCGCTGAGAAGAGGACACAAAGTTCGTGGTCCTTGTCTCGAGGGGAGGATTGTTATGGGACAATCCAAGTACCACATTGGAAATACAAGGGAGGGAACCCTTGTTTATTAGTATCCACCTAGACCAATTAGTAAGAGACCTTTTGGAGAGGACACTCAGGAGAAAAACCGTGCAGGCTTGGCCCAAAGCGGACAATATCGTACTAATTGAACTCTCCGGTTATGAAAATTCCCAATTCAAAATATTTGGGTTTTTTAATTAGGAATTTGGACCACAATTACTCATAAATAAAATTCATCATCCAAACAACCCCTTAGAAGAATGAATTGCTTAGTTGTAGTGATGACTAATTTTAGTGAAACTAAATTCAGATTTAGATAATTATGAGTAATCTAATAATATTGAAGTATAAGTTTAGTAATTGTAAATATTACTGTAATAAATAGCTAATTTTTATTGACTTGTATTTATGCGCTCATGATGAAATATTTTGGAAGAATGAAATGCTCAGTTGTACTACTTATGATTACATTAAAACTAAATTGAATTTTTTTGAATTATGAGTGATTTAATAATACTTGAGTATAAGTTTAGTATATTTTACATAGTAACCCACTATTTATATGCACAAAGTTTCCAATATTTAATGTGCAATCCAAACCTCTTTTTAGTGTTTCTATATGAAGTTATTTATTTAGTATTTGGTATATGCTTATACCATATAACAATATTTCATATTGAGATTGATTTTTACCGTTATTTAGCATTTGAGATACCAAAGACCGATTTCTTATACTCATAGCAAATTCTATACACTAATTAATGAGTAGTGACAAGTAAAACCTGCAACTAAGTAACATGTAATTATTCATGAATCTCGAACTTGAGAATTCACTGTATAACCATAGAACATATGCACACCAATATGACACCTTTGAATTGATAAAGGGCAACTTGCCTAATCTATAGCAGAAAAAACGTGGGAGAAGAGAGGAGAAAAAAAATCCTTTAAGGTAAATCCAAGCGAAAGGAAAATGTGTCTAATCGACAGATGAAAAATGTGGGGTAAGAATAATAAACCATATGTGGAAGAAGAAAATTATACGCTATGGTATGAAAGTATATCATGGTGGTATGAACACAGTAAAGTGTAAAATGGTTGCTTACATGATAAAATAAATATATTAATTATCATTTAGCATATTTCATCAATGTATACCAACCAGTTACCACCGTCTGCCAGGGTGGTACTTTTTGTCCTGAATTATTTTTCCTTAAATTTGTAAATCTAATAGATCACGATGAATTCGTTCATTTTGGGCAAAAAATTTCAAAATTTGAGTTAAAAAAAGTTTATACCAGGTGTTACAGGGAGGTAATGGGTGGTGTAAATTTTTTTCCATAAAAATATAGTGAAAATGGATATAATTTGTATATGACAAAGAACTTGTTCCTTTTTTGAAAAAAAAATTGAAATACAAATTATTACTAAGAATATATAATCCAATTAAGGAAAACGTCATTTATTCTCAACTATTAGATCCGGCACCACTTAAAACAGTGGTTGTGGTTCGTATATGGTTATGCAAGGTTATACACATGTTGCTAAGCCATGGGAAACCCTATATGCCTATACTGTGGAGACTACTGTAGACTACTAACATGAACTCATAACTACACTAGCATACATAATTATCATGAAGGACTACCTAATCATCCTAGTTTTAACATACTCTCTTCAAAATCGCAGGGAAGATGACTATTCCTTCATTTCATGCCATGTTAGTATGAATTTCAGCATGTATCTAGTTTTGTCAGTTAATTCTTGGCATGACGGAAAAGTCCATTAGCATTGTAAAAATCCTAGGTATATGATGAAGATCGCTCACAAGGGATAATAGGTTTGTCATTGAGATGCAATACACCCAAGAGCAGCAGACAAGGAAATTGCACGAATAGAACCCTCCACAAGACCACAACACAATTCCAAATCAAGGACCCCACTTGGAATGATTTCATGTGTTTTCTTCTCCCACCTTCTTTCTTTCTTTCTTCCATTTTTTTAGTCTATTATGACACCACTGATTTGATTAAAGGTAGCTGCCCTTCACATTGTGCATGTCTATGTTAAAGTTTCTGTCCACTCTCTCTCTCTCTCTCTCTCTCTCTCTCTATTCCTTTACACTCATCCCCCCACCATAAAGATAAAGCTGCCCGATTCAAACCCTCCATTCAACTCAAAACCCACAAAGCCAATTCAGTCACCCACATCTCATATCATATCATATCATATACTCTCCTCCAATACCACCCATCTTCATCATCATCATAAACAACAACTACTACAAAAATCTAGCAATTAAGCTCTCTCTCACCTTTAGTTTCCTTCCCCTTGTTAGCTTTTATTTGCCACTAAAAGAAAAAGGTTGGATCCAATCCCATCTTCCCCTTCCTCCCTCCTTTCTTCCCTTTTGCTAGGTTTTTGGATTGTTGTAGATCCACAAAGCAAATCACCACCCAAAAGAGATAAAGGAAAAGGCAAAGAGTTAAAGGAAAAGGAGTGGGAGCTATAGGGGGGAATTGAAGATGATTCAAGAGCTCTTGGGGAGTGGCCTAATTAGTGGAGAAAGGAGGATTAATCCCATCACCACCAATGGAACCATTCTACATGCCACACCACCACCTCATACTTATTCTCACAACCATCACTCTTCTCCATCCCCTTCTTCAGCAGCAACTACACCCACCACCACCACTTCCACAACCCCAGCTGGAGCTCTACCTGCCACAGGCACCGCTCCGTCGTCTCTCAACAACTCATCTGCACCTTCTTCGTCGTCATCGACTGCAGCTGGAGAGCACCTGAGATGCCCTCGTTGCGATTCGTCCAACACCAAGTTCTGCTACTACAACAACTACAACCTCACCCAGCCTCGCCACTTCTGCAAGACCTGTCGCAGGTACTGGACCAAAGGTGGCGCCCTGAGGAACGTTCCCATCGGCGGAGGATGCAGGAAGAACAAGAGCACGAGCGGCTTGATCTCATCGTCATCATCCTCCGCCGTGGTCTCAACATTCGGAAAGCCTACCACCACCACCACCGACAAGCTCAAGAGCCTGGCGGTAGGGTTTGGAAACTCATCATCGTCCCCATCACTTTTCGGTGCTAGTTTGTACGATCTCCATCATCATCAAGTAGAGCTCCCATCTAGCCCTATCCTATGGGGATCAGCTTCCCCACAAAACAACTCCCACGGCCACCACTTCCTCTCCTTGTTGAGATCATCACCAAACCCTAACCCTAACCCTAGCTCCATCCCTACACCACAACCGGCTTCTTCAGCGGTTAAGGACGAGCACCCAAATGGTATCATCGGCAGCTTGTTCGGGACAACTAGTACCTCTCCTACTACCAGCCACTTGAAGATGTTCGAGCCGCCTGCGACGACGGCTCGAACCCTAGCCGGGTGGGACACGTCATCATCGGTCAACAACCAGCAGCAGCAAGCCACTTTGCTTGGTCTTAACTATCCTCCAATTCCAATGTGGACGGGAGACAGCAATGGAAACGGCTACCTTGTTGGCAGCGATGAACCGCTTAATAATAATAATAATAACAATAATACAGGGATGCAGGAAGTGTACCAAAGGCTGAAGGCTTCCACTAGTACAAGTGGTTATGATGTTTTCAACGAGAATAATAACGTGGGTTCTACTTCTTCTTGCTTTTCGTCGGCGGGAGTTGCTTCATCTTCGTCAACGGTGGCCGGAGGAGGTGGCGGGTTCTCGGGTTACATCTGGAATCCGGCAGCTTTTACATCTTCTACTGCTACCACCACTACTGCTGCTTCATGGTCGGATCTTCCCAGCACCGCAAATAATGGTACTGCTTATCCCTAATTAATTATCAAGAACCTTCCGGCGGCCGGAGTTTATTTCTTTCTTTTCCATGGGATTCAAATCAATAATTTTCTCTTTAATTTGATCTTTATATTGGGGGTGTTTAAGTCAAGAGGGTTGCTCTTGTAATTCAGCTGGTACGTATATGAGTTATCTGTTAAATCTGTTTTACTTTGTTTTGGTTCATTAAGTGTGAGGTGTGTTTGGAAGACTTGGGAAGGATATAATGTATGTTAATTTGTTTATATATTGTGGTTAGGGATGGAAATGAGTCGGCTTGGATTTTTTCTGAACTCAAATTTAATCCAGCGGGTTACCATGTAAAATACATATTAGGTTTTAATAAGAGAATTTAACCCAGCTCAATCTGTCAATTTCAAAATCGGGCAAAACTCGCACTCGATCCGAAATTCATCAACACTACGTTTTACCCGCTTTAATCGAGTTAGGTAGGGTTGGGTACTCGTGGATTCCAGCTTCAGTGACATTAGAAATGGTGGCCTACCAAAAATTAGTGGTTGTATGTAGGGGCATACAACGGCTCAGTTCGACCCTTATGAGAACCGCGATCCAAGTAAAAGAAAAGGACGGATTTCGTCCGATCCAAATGATAGTTCGGTCCATTTTCATGAAAGCAAGAACCGTACCACATTAAATTCGATTCGATATTTGTCCATTCAATAAGGTCGAATACAGACTAAATCGTTGCACACCCTAGATGTATGGCTTGATGATTTAAGCGTTATTTAAGAGAAAATGAACGACTAGGTTTAATTATTCTTTAACTAAAGAACATACACGTGACTCGTAACTCATTATATACTTACTATATCCAATTGTTATTTTATCTGGGTTAGCCATTGATTACTTTTTAGGGTTGGGGGCCTTGCACGGAAGAATATATATTGGACAAATCAAAGGCTTTATTAGTTGGGGTAATCTGCTTTTCAGATGCATCATTTGGTTTTATTTATCAAGGAAAGGTGGTGGGTGGCAAATGGGCAAATGGGCATATGCCTATAGATTATAGGGTATACCCTTCCATTTAGACATTATCGAAGGTCACCCTGCAGATTATTTTAAGGAGAAAGTGAGATTGAGATATACATATATAGATGAGATCTAGAGATATGTATGTATATGACAGGGAGGGCAGTAGGGTAGCGCCTGAGAGATATATTCTGTCTTCAGAAAAAGGTATAGGGGCGCGCCATGGCCTTTGAGGAAAGAAGAGCTACCTGTCTTTCTTCCATCTTTTTTTTTTTAATGTCTCCAAAACACGACATAGAACAGAGCTGCTGCAACAACAAAATAATTGATTCTCTCATGTTGATGGTTGGTTGGTTGGTCTGTTGGGATGGGAAGGGGAAGAAGGTGGGGAGGGAGAGGGGAGAAAGATAGATTCCATCTTCAGCTTTATGTCAAAAGATATAGAATAGATTGGTTATAGCTACTAGCTAGCTCTAGCTAGCATGCATATAGCTGGTTTCTGTCCCCTATCCTTTCTTCCCTTTTCTACTTCTTCATTCCTCAATATATATGTACTTTTCCCTACATGCTGATGTGAATTATTTGAAAGCCCTACGAGCTCGCTGAAGTAGTGGTTTTTTTCCCCCCAGATTGTTAGAATGGTTATATTATTCACTGTTATAGGTGTCAACCGCGGACAGGTTCAACCGGGCTTGGGTTGGGGTTCAAGTATGTTGCGGGTACGTAGGGTTTCATGTCCATCGAGTTGCGGGTTAGTTGAGTTACGGGTTTATCAAGTTGTGGGTCATTCGGAATATCGGTCAGACGGGTTGCGGGTTGATATGATCGGCACATCGAGAAAAAATGTGTTTTTCTGAATAATTTATTTTATTATTTATTATAGCTCCTCATACGATTTGTATTATCATACGTCAATACCAGAACAACTAATAAAACTGAAAGAACACATTCCATATAATTTGTTCATCATTTTTTAGCACCAAGATCCCCAAATTCGTGGAGTATACCAGTCATTACCATATATATATGGTGCCGTCTTTGGTGGATTCACTTTTTTGGGTGCATTCAATGCGCTCGCTTCATAAATGTCACTTTAAATATGCGATTTATGTCAAAATGATGTCAATCATCCCTTATGATGTGATGAACAATAACGCACATGAAGTTGCACAAAAACCATTGAAGATTTACTTTAGGGGTCGTTTGGAGAATATGAGTTTAAATCTATAGATTGTCAACAATCTAAAGATTCTAACTCTTCGGATTGTTGAAAATAGATTTTAAAATGTTTATTGTTTGGTAACTGTGATTGTTAACATTCAATGAAAATAAAAAAAATTATTTTTATATTAAATAACGTGTTTATCCTTAATAAAAAATTAGAGTGGTTCGAGAAATATTAAAAACTTTGTTGATAAATATATTTAATGTGATAAATAAATAAAACAAAGAGAAAAAGTAGGAGAAAAAAAATCTCACGAATCAAGATATAGAATCTCTCCGATTATGAGAGATTTGATATCCGTAGATTTTAGAGATTTGAAATCTCTAAAGCTCAAATCCACAATACAAAAAATAACAAAAAAACATAACTTTCTACAAAATCTACGGATTCAATGAATCCACGCCCTAAATCCCATTCTCCAAACGACCCCTTAATTTGAAGGATTTCAAGTTTAGAGATTTAGAGTTAGGGTTTACAATTTGGGGTTTAGGGATAGAACTCAAAATTGGAGGTCAAGGGCTTAGGGTAATCCGCTAATTAGTTGTTATCATATGTTATATCATCATATTACACTAATTCTACAAATTAAAATTCAAAACCCGACACCTTAAGACTAGTTTTTGAGTTGGGTGCATTGAACATACTCATTTTTGTGACTGCACCGAAGTAGTCACCATATATTGAGTTAGTCAAATCACGTGACTGTCGGATCATGGGATGATTGGGTAGCGATTCATTGACGTTTAGTTCAACTGAGTTGTAGAAGGATTACTCGGATAGGGTTATGATGCATTTTTTTAATTTTATACCCAGAAAATATAATTATTGTTTTTTACTTGACATAAAATGTCATTCAAATTAGGGATAGTTAAATCTCATCTTTTATATGGATAGTTTGGTTGAGAATGTTGAAATTTTGTTCCAATCATATTTATGACTTTTTATGCATGTGCTTTTTTATATTAAAAGAAAAGGGTAAAAATGATACTTCAATAAAATATTGGGTAAATACAATTTAATATCCAAACCTTTCATTTTAAACAATATAATAGCCAAACCTTTTCAAAAACAATCTAATATCCAAATCGTCAACTTTCCATTCGTTTGACCGTTAGTTGACACTTCAAAAAAGTTCGAAGTACGACACTTCATCAATATCCATCGATATCTTCTCTGAAAAACCACCAACATATCGTGGTTCCAAACCCGAGAAATCCATGACTCCACCATGATGTTATAGAATATATAAATATTCAGTCATCTGCAATGCCAAAACAAGAAAACAAAGTTGTATTGTGAAAATTTCCCCTAAACAAAGCTTTTTTGAAGTGTCAACCAACGATCAAACGGACGGAAAGTTGACGATTTGAATATTATATTGTTTTCGAAAAGGTTTGACAATTATATTGTTTAAAATGAAAGGTTTGGATATTAAATTGTATTTGCCCTAAAATATTATATAACTTGTTTGAACACTATAATAAATATCACAAAATAAAATGATGTAACCCACAATACAACAATTTCCTTAACTACATTCTACATACAATATTATACATGCATTGTCAACAATATATCAATTTAACTCATCCAAAACCAAACAACTGTTTGATATGTAAATGTGAGTGTAATATTGCATATAGTTTTCTATTAACATTATTTTAATGTATTTGAGTGAAACTCAAACCGACTATACAATTTACGATAAAAGAATTGAATATACAATTTAAGTGCGTCAGATAATTCTATTATTTGAGGATATAAAGTATGATTCGAAGGGTATGTGTGTGCAAACATTTAGTGGAGAGTACATTCGTTAATTCGTTAATTTGTAATAGTAGAGAGATACAAAATGCTATTATCATAAATTTAGTTTAGTGAAAGCGAATGACGTAAGGGAAGGAAATTAGTAGGTGATTATATAAGGTGTAGCTAGAATGATTAATATTTGGCGGGATGATGGTCTAGGTTAGCCCGGTCAACCAAAAGGAAACCTTGTCCTTCCCTAGGGCATAAAAAGTAAACCCTAAGACATGTTTCAAGAATATAATTGAGAATGGAGACTGCTTGGTATGATCATTACAAATTGAGTAATATTATACAGTTATATGGAAGTGCTCCGGCTAGGTTTTGCTAAAGAAGTAATTATTTTAATTTTTAGTAGAAATGGAACAAAACTGTTTTTGCTAAATTATAATAACTTTTGCCAGATTAATTTAAGCCTCAGTTTATGGAAGTGATTGCTCTCCTCTGGAGGATTTGGAGATCGCGCAATTGGGTGGTTTTTGAAGGAAAACAGTTTGAGATTGCGGTCTTGATGCGTCAATTCCACCAACAGGTGCTTGAATGGACTAACCTTCCGAAGGACCCTACCCCCCGGCCTCCCACTATGGTTGGCTCAAGTGGTGCGGGGGATCCGGCCTTGGCAATTTGCATGTGGGTTGGGGCGGTGAGGGTTGGCTCTCATTCGACAGGGGGGATGGTTCTCTTGACCCCGACCCGTGAGGTTCTCCTTGTGAATGGGGTTCATTTCCCGGGGGTGGATGACCCAATGGTGGTGGAACTTCTGACGCTAAGGGAGGCTATCTTATGGTGCCTTGGGCTTGGCTTTTCTGCAGTGCGCTTTGAATGTGATGCCCAACTGGTTATTGAGAAGATCCGTAGGGGTGAAAGTACAGATAGCCGTATGGGACCCATTCTGGAAGAGGTCAGCAATTTGGTGGTGGCTCATGCAGGACTTAGTGTTCGATTTGTAGGTCGGCGAAACAATAGGGTAGCTCACTTGGTAGCTAGGAAGGCCCTTTCTTTGTACCCGAATGCGAGTCGTTTCTTTGATTTCCAGACCTGGCTGTGTTCCAGGATGTAATTGCCTATTTTTTTGATCAATATATGATTATCTTTTGTCAAAAAAAAAAAAAGGTTCAAGTGCAAACCCCGTTTATATGATGATACCCATTATAAGGAGGTAAGAAGGGAAATTAGGGTTTTTGGGATAGTTCACTGATTTATTTTGGAGCTTATGCGGATTTTCAAGTGCAGAAAAATATTTTTCAAATTTTTTACGAATATTAACAGACTATATTTCATTCATTTTACACCGAATTCACAATTTATTGCATAGAAAAAATAATTATTTTGTGCTCTATAAATGACATCTATTTTGATATTTTTGGAGCAAAAATTTTTACGCCATCTTATCACTGTCGTACTGTGATGTTAGCCTACAGAATCAAGGCTTTGATGGTTTCAACGTTACGAATGCGAATAAGCACTCGGAAGGGTTGGTTTATGACCCAAATTGGAGGCTCGCCGGTGACCGGCAAGGTGTTAATGCGCCTAAAATGAGCTATCTCCAAAGAAGATCTAGGTTTTGGATCGGAAAAAAACGGAAGCTAGAATGCTTCCGGGACAAAATATATTGTGAGAAGGGTATAATCAAACGCCCAAAATTATCAAAAAAGGAAGTTTGGCGTTTTTAGCTACCCTCGTCGTTCACCTTGGATGATGATGCAATGGCTAATTCTCAGAGACCTCCTGCCCCATTGGAAGACCAATTGGTCACGGGGAAAACTTACCAGAGTGGAGGGGGGGAGCGGAGCCATGTCTTGGTAATGACCGGGACTATCGAACGGGATGACACGGTCTCGGAGGTCGAAACCCAGGGATTTCCTGCTCAACAGCAACCACCGAGGACGACCGGGGAAGGGTGTTTTGCCCAGAAAATTGAAACGATACGGTATATTCCGGTGGCAGCTGGCCGGCGTCTTTGCCGCGGCGACGATAAGGATAGGCCGGCGAGAATCACGGGAAAAAAAACAAATAACAGATTGCCAGGCTTTCAACTACTGGCCCGGATTTGGTGGGATTCTACCTCATCTTCAGTTTAGTTGGAATACAAGTCCAGCTATAACCCGACGTCCTAGTAATAGACGTCTCTCTTCCATCCCTAACCTAAGGGCGGTAGTCAGGGGCGGGTGGGTTTCGCAAAGTCCCTCTTATATAAGCCCGATCAGAGCTCTGTTACACCACACACGCGTGATAAACAGAGAGACTCTTGTGGTGGTAGGGAAGCTTTGCGAACGACCGCCTCAACTACTTAGCTCAGGTTCACGTGAGTCCCCTCTTCCTTTTTCCCCAGCTCCCCTCTCTCAGGTTTCGTTACCAATCCCCGATGGGCTCTGTGAAAACTGTCCGACCTCAGGCCCATCGCTTAAATCGATTGATAATCTGGCGAGGGTGGGCTCGGTTTTGCACTCCTCCCTCACTTGTATGTCTGTACCTTGTTCACCGCAGGTTTCCTTGATGGCGCGCATCCAGCAGGATCAGGTGATCCAATTCTCCATGTCTGAGGTGAGACCGGCGCGGTTTCATAGTTCGTGCGCTCTGGTGGGCAGACTATTCACTTCGAACCAAGTGACTGTGACGGAACTTAAGGAGGCTCTGAACATTCCATGGCAGGGGAAAGGGAAGATCAAGGTCATGATTGCAAAACATGGACTTTATGAGTTTGTTTTGCCCAGTGAAGGATCGCGGAACTGGGTGCTGAAAAGATCACCATGGGTGATTGCGGACAAAATCCTCCATGTCTGTGCTTGGCTACCAAACATTTCGAAGAAGACTTTTGATGAGCTTGCGACCGTCCCGTTTCGTGTTCAATTATGGGACGTCCAGGAAGAGTGCTGTACTAAACAATTCGGTAGAAAGATGGTCAATGAAGCCATTGGACATGTCCTTGAATCAGGTGTATTTGCCTGTACGGATACGGATAAGTGGTTTGTCAAAGTTCGTGCTCTGATTGATTTTTCTAAACCGCTACGTTCGCAAATCTGGGCGGCCAGTGATGAAACGGGTGGATTTTGGGTCAATTTCAAATACGAGCACTTACCATCTTTCTGCTTCCAATGTGGTCGTGTTGGCCACATGATGAGTGCTTGCTCTTTCGATCCCCCTGCCCGCAAAGAAAGATTCGGGCCTCACATGTCCACTAAGAAAGCTGGAACTAGGATTTATGATGAAGATGATGATCTGCCTGTGTACCATGGCGGCTCCAAGTCAGTATGGGTGAATAAGGAAATCCGGGAGAAGCGGGAAGGATGTGAGGCTAGAGCCCAGCCTGGTGTTCAGCGAGAAGAAACTAAAAGTGGACAGCAGATGGGTCTCGTTGAGGGGCGGCAGCCGCCAATTTTGATGGAGACAGCGGTTGGGCAAGGTGGCGAGTTGGCCAAGACTAGGAGCCCTCGTGGATTTGCTGTGAGGAAATCCCCCCGGGTGAGCTTGCATCGGAGCCGCGCTGGCCGTAACTCTCCGACGAGCTCGATGATGGAGGAACGGGCGACAGGCGGCAGGTCTCGTCCAGGTCATCGTGTGGATACCACGGGTGGACGAGGAGATGGGAGGAAGGGGGGCCAGATGCGGAGGGGCCAGGCCCATGGGCCGAATCGATCTCGGCAGCTGGCTAGTGGCCCGCTGGAGCAGTGCAGCCCTGACGCCCATGATGCGCGGGGACTGGCCCAAGGCCATGGGGGGCACGTGTCGGCCCAAGTTGTTGAAGCTACTGATCGGGCCGGGAGCAATGAGCCCACCCAACAGATGACTGCCCGCAGACGTATGCTGCTGCAGGAGGAATCAGAGGAGGAGACTCCTCTCCCCATGCCTATCATGCAGGCCATGCACGTCGGTGTTGAGGGGAAGAAGGACTCCGAGAGTAGGCTGGAGAGGAAGGGAAGGGCTGTGTCCAAATCCCAAAACGTGGCAGTGGTGTTGCCCTCTCCTCAGGCCGGTTTACGGCGTTTGCGCAAGGCTAGGAAGCATGATGGGATTAATGCACCAGCGGAGAATAGCCGCAATGGCCGCAAGCAGCAGCAAGGGGTGGCCCATTCTCGACAAGGAAGAACGGCAATGCCGCCGGTTGAGGAGGAGAATTTAATTGATGTCCCGATACGGGTAGTTGCCCTGCCTCACCGCCAGCAGCACCAGACCTCCCCACCGCTGTCTGGAAGGGAGGATGTGTTTGGCCAGGAGGTGGACCCTTTTGCGGCATCGTCGGAAGAGGAAGAAGATCAATGCTTTGAAATCAGAAGTCGGGCCAAAGGGAAAGCAGCTGCTGTGGCGTCCTGCCTGAATAAGAACCATGTAAGGCAGGTGGTAGCGGCATTTGAAGCAGGCGTGTCTCTGAATCCGTCTGTTGATGGGAAGAAGACTGGTATGACTATGAGTCCTAGAGCAGATAAGCAGGGTGACTCCTCTCTGGCTTCTGAGCAGGAGATGATTTGGAAATTGAATCAGTATGGGACCAACATCCTAGAGCCGGGGATCAGTGGTCGTAAGAGGGATCTGCTTGAGGTGGAGGGGGTGGTGGAAGTACCTCCAAGTCCCAAGAAGCAATTTATTGAGGAAGCTCCTATTGATGACAAGGTGGAGGTAGCCAGCCAAAATTGGCCCCCAGAAGTTAAATGAGACTTCTCGCTTGGAATGTGAGGGGAATTGGGCCATCACTCACATTCCAATCTGCTGTAGGTTTAATTCGTTCCAATAAACCGGACCTTGTTTTCTTTTCGGAAACGAGATCGAGTCGGAGAGTAGTGACCCGTCGTATGAGGGGGTTAGGTTTTGAGTCCAGGTTTTGTTTATTTTTTGATGCCATTGATACTTCTGGTGGCTTAGTTGTAGATTGGTCCCCCGAAGTTGACGCTTCGGTGTTCTTTCATTCGGATTTTTCGATTTGTGTTCGAATTAATGAAAACAATTTATCGTATGTGATTGTGTGCGTGTATCTCAGTTGTCATGATTCCATTCGCGCCAATCAATTGAACGCTTTGCGAGTGTTGTGTGATGATATCCATCTACCTTTTGTGGTTATTGGGGACTTCAATGTCACTTTACATGTGAATGAAAAGGATGGTGGAAACCATTGGTCTCCCCTCCCAGCTATCCCACTCAGAAATTTCATCCATGATTTGGGGCTTCAGGACCCTGGATTTCAGGGCGATCAGTTTACATGGACAAATCGGCGTATGGGGACGGCATGTATTCTTGAGCAGTTGGATAGAGCTCTTTGCTCCCAAGCTTGGATGGATGCGTTCCCTGACACTTTGATTAAGCATTTTACTGATCAGGGTTCTGATCATCGGGCTTTAATCCTCTCTGATAAACCGTTTACTAGGCATACTAGGCCCGTCTTCCGCTTTGATGCTCGCTGGGCTCAGAACCCGGAAGTAAAGGCTATGGTGACTTATGTATGGTTGGAAGAGGTTAACGGTACCCCGATGTATCAATTATGGGAAAGATTGAAGAAGCTTCGCCACCTCCTTTTTGATTGGAGTAGAGCGGGGACTACGAATTCGCTTAGGAACATCAAAACCCTTCAAATGGAAATTGATAGGGTGAAACTTGAACGCCCGATTAATTGGGATGAGGCGAGGGAGTTGGAGGCTGAGCTCTCGAGGCAATGGGAAGCAGAGGAAGAGTATTGGCAGCAGAAATCCAGAGTTCAGTGGCTCAAGAAAGGGGATAAGAACTCTTCGTATTTCCACACAGTCACCCGAGCTCGTCGGAAAAAGGAACTTTGTCTCGGGCCTTTATAATGAGGAGGGTGACTGGATTACTGAGGAAAGAGGAAAGGCGGATATAGCAAGTAGATTTTATCAAAACCTCTTCGCGTCAGAGAACGAAGTCCCCAACATGGATGTGAGGGTTTCGAGGCTGCCTATTGATCGTAAGGTTTCTTCGGAAATGAATGAGTCGCTTACGGTGGAAGTCTTTCCTGAGGAAATTTGGAAAACTGTGTTCTCTATGGGGGCTAAGCAGGCCCCAGGCTCGGATGGGTTTACCGGGAAATTTTTTAAATCCTTTTGGCATATTGTGGGCCCTTCGGTGATTGAGGCTGTACGATCCTTCTTTAGTACAAGCAGACTCCTTCGAAGCTTCAATCATACTTGGCTCACTCTGATTCCTAAGGTGGATAATGTGGAAAATAGGACCCACTCCGGCCCATTAGCCTCTGCCAGTTTGTGTATAAAAATCATTACGAAGATTATGGCGGAGAGGCTTTCTCAATTTTGGCCCCAAGTTATTTCGGAGGGCCAGAATGCGTTTATTCGGGAGCGGCAGATCGTAGAGGACATTTTGCTGGGACATGAGTTAATGCACTATCTAAAAATCAAAACGCAAGGGAAGAAAGGATACATGGCTCTGAAGGTTGACATGGAAAAGGCCTATGACAGAGTTGAATGGTCATTTCTGCTTGCTGTTTTGAGAAAGTTAGGGTTTAATTCGGTCTGGTGTGGCTGGGTTCAGGAATGTCTCCGTTCTGCGTCGTTCTCAGTGCTTATGAATGGAACTCCGTCTGGGTTCTTTACTTCTACTAGAGGTCTGAGGCAGGGGGATCCGCTATCTCCGCTACTTTTTGTGTTGTGCACAGAGGGGTTTGCGGCTCTCCTCCGACAGGCTGTTACGGAGGGGAAATTTGAAGGGGTTAGGGTTGCCCCTAGGGCTCCCCGTATCTCGCATCTTTTCTTTGCGGATGACTCCTATCTGTTCCTCCGTGGCTCTCTTCGGGAGTGTGAGAACTTAATTGAGGTCCTGAACACGTATGAGGAGCTCAGTGGGAAACGAGTGAATCTGGGGAAATCGGCGGTGTGTTTTAGTAAGAACATCTCTTTACCGGATCAGGAGTTCCTTGCCGATATTTTGGGCGTTGGAGCGGTAGGGGTACATGATAAGTACTTGGGGCTACCGACTTTAATTGCCCGGTCGAAAATGGATACATTCCGTTTCTTGGAAGAGAAACTGCTTAGTCGATTACAAGGATGGAAACAACGAACGTTGTCTTGGGCGGCTAAGGAAACGTTGATCAAAACCGTGGCGTTAGCCTTACCATTGCATGTGATGTCCTGTTTTAAACTCCCACTATCTTTGTGTCGTCTACTGGATAGACATGTGTCGCGGTTTTGGTGGGGTGTTGAAGGGGGGAATTCCAAAATAAGATGGGTTTCCTGGCGAACGATGTGTACTAGCAAGCATGAGGGTGGCATGGGATTTAGAAGATTTGAGGAGTTTAATCAGGCTTTATTGGCAAAAATTGGTTGGCAAATCTTGACGGAGCCTCAGTCGCTCCTGGCGCAGGTCTATAAGGGGAAGTATTTCCCGCGGGGAACCTTTCTTGAAGCAACCCCTAGGTCTCGGCCTTCTTGGGGATGGCAGAGTGTCTTACATGGACGTAAATTGCTTCTTCAGGGTCTCCGTTGGCAGATTGGAAATGGGCGTTCCGCTTCCTTGGTTTCTTCCAATTGGGTCCCCCTCCTCCACCCTAATAGCCCTGTGTTTAACCACAGAATCATTGCTGAAGGCAGTGAGCCCATGGTAGAGGAGGTTATGTGCCCTGGAGGTGGCGGATGGTGTGATGAAAAGCTACAGCAATGGTTTGACCCATCAGTATGTCGTGTGATTAAGGCTATCCCTCTTCTGCATTGTGATGTGGAGGATAGGCTTATCTGGCATATGACTCCGGATGGTGTCTTTACGGTCAAGTCAGCCTACCACCTTGCTGTATTGCTAGAAAAACAAGAGGGGCGATGGCGTCCTATGGTTAGCTGGATGGATAAGCAAAGTTGGATCCGTTTATGGAATGCCAATATTCCCCCTAAGCTCAAGGTGTTCCTTTGGCAGGTGTTTCGTCGCATCCTTCCAACTACAGAAGCTCTGATTGAGAAAGGCATTGAGGTCCACCCTCGATGTCCTGTTTGCTGGGATGAGAAGGAGACGATGGAGCATTTGTTCTTCGATTGTAGGGTTGCCAGAGCCCTTTGGGATCAGGCAGGATTGGAGTTTCTGGGCCAAGGGTTACCTCGCCAGACCTTCCCCCTGTTCTTGAAGAGGATGTTGGCCATTATTAATCAACCACAGCTGTTTATGGCAGTGGCGGCGCTCCTTTGGCGTATCTGGCGATCCCGTAATTGGGTGATCTTTGAAGGAAAACAATTTGGGGTCTCTGCTCTTCTCCGGCAGTACTATCAGCAGTACCAAGAATGGGTCTCGCTCCCTGCGGATCAGGTGGTAGGAGTGCCTCAGTCTCAACCTCCTCCAGGGTTGGACACTTTGGGCCATGCGGTTACCTGTATGTGGGATGGGGAAACCAAGCCTGGGTCTCATTCGGCTGGAGGGATCGTGGTGAAGGATCTGGCGGGAAATGTCCTGTTGGCTCGAGGAGTACAGTTTCCGACCGTAGATAATCCCCTGGTGGCTGAGGTGCTGGCTCTTCGAGAGGCTGTCGGGTGGTGCCTAGACTTGGGATTTCAGGATGTTTGCTTCCTTGGTGATGCTAAGACTGTCATTGATAAAATTATAAGGAGGGATGTGCATGAGGCTCAGATTGGGGCAATTTTGGAAGAGCTTATTCGTATTTTTGCAGATCATAGTGCGCTTCATATTCGGTTTGTAGGTCGGTCTAACAATAGGGTAGCCCATTTGGTGGCTAGAAAGGCCCTTAATTTGTACCCGGCTACAAGTCGTTATTTTGATTTCCAGGCCTGGCTGTCTTCCAGGATGTAATACCGTTTGTTTCAATCTATAGAAATGATTATCTTTTGTCAAAAAAAAAATTGAAGAACCATCCCAATTGAACGATCCCAAAATTTATTGCATAGAAAAATTAGATATTTTGTGCTCTCCAAGTTCAAAATCTTCCTTCACATTTTGAAGCCCATAGAGGTTGGCACGATTGAGGTAGTTGTGAAGAATATAATTTCCCCAAACATAGCAGTTAAAATTTGGATTTTACATAAAATCGGAAATGGAGGTAAAATCGGAATCGTAAAATTGTAAGATTTTAATGATTAATCGTGAATAGTCTAGGATTTTAAGGTTCTTAGATTTTATAGTGAAATCATGATATGATGGAACCGTAGAATTGGCTCTATCTAGGGATTGAGAACTTGGGGGGATCAATGAGGGCTTGATTTTCCTTTTAGACCAAAGAACGGAAGTTGGGGTTGATTTAGAAGGAAGAGCGAGGGGAAAGGATGTTGCGGCATCAACCTAGAGAGAAAGAGAGGACACGACAGAGAGGGAGAGGAAGGAAGGAAGATTAGGGTTTGCTGAATATTTGTTTTGTAATTGCTGAATGAGTGATCCCACTAATTACAGAATATATATCCCCTATAACAACCTTTTTTCTACCCAACTAATACAACTTAATGAAACTCCCTAATTATTCCAAAACCCCCAAATAATCCATAAACTTCTCAATATATGAATAAATTATAAATAATGCCAAAGAACAAAACAAGCAAATAATTATGTTTCTATCATCCCTCCCTACTTTGATACAACGTTGCCCTCAAGGTTACTCCAACTCATCCTTCCGCTCCTCGTTCTCTATGGCCGCCCATTCCTCTGCCCCGTCTTCCCAGCGTCCCACCAGCATCGTTAGTTCTGGTTTAGCGCACTGATGACCCAAGGTGAACCTCTCATCGCAATTGAAGCACTTCTCTTCCCACCTCTTCTGCTCAATCTCTGTAGGAGATAATTTGACAAACCCTTTCGGATTCGCTGGAGGTCCCGCTCCTCCTCCATTGCCACCAACTGTGATTCAACTAGCTCCTCCACTGGACTTCTGGAAGCGCCCTACGGTACTTCGCCACGTAGCAATCTCTTCTTCCTTACGCTCTGCAATGCGAAAGGCAACCCTCAAGGAGTCAGACTCAAATACCTTCATTGCCACTACAATCTCTGGTCGCATGCCCGCCATACATGTGCATACCAAAGTCTCTTCCGGCACCCCCTTCCACATATTTCTCAGCTTGAGGAACTTTGCTTGGTAGTCGGCCATAGTCCCGGTCTATCTCAGCTTTGCTAGCTGCTCGGAAGCCCACCCCTCCGAGCGCCTGAACTGATAACGTAGCTCCTCCTGAAAACAAGGCCATGCAATCTCTGGTCACATGCCCGCCATATATGTGCATACCAAAGTCTCTTCTGGCACCCCCTTCCACATGTCTCCTCATAATTACGACCATAAGCGCCATACCTTCCAATTCCCTGGCCGCAGTGCGTGGATCGATGTAACGAGCTACCTTTAGTTCAGGAACCCAAGCTTCCTCTCTGGCCCCGTACTGCAACCATGGTCTCCCATATGAGACCGACCGCCTGAACTGCTGCATTCTCTCGTCCGTAGGGATGCTCCGCCATTCGGGGAGTCATACCCTCCGTGAGGCTTGCTTCCGCCGCTGCCTCCTATCGTGGTGGACCAACTGCCCAGTCTGACCGGGTTTAGGCTGGCCCGGATCGACCCGACCTGACCCGACTAGTTCGCTCGTCGGACCCTGGTTACTCTGCATCCCCGGCCAGAACACGTGCCCGTGGTGAACTGCTGCTTCCCACAATCCTTCTTGGTTAGCAAGGCTTAGCTCGTTGCTCTCCTCGCCCGTGCTCCACACCCACCATATCCATCCCAAATGGCTCATTGCGGATCATGTTATCGTACCCATCCATCTTGGCCTTTCCCCGCCTAGCCGCCAACTCTTGGGACGATGGGGTGGGTAACAAACCTGACCCATCGTAACCGGCCCCCTGCCTAGGCCCACACTAGGCCTGTCTCATGTCACCAAACTTGAGTTGCTCTCCTTCCCGCCAAAATTTCTTGGTGGCACCTCTTTCGCCGCTACCAACGCAGGCTCGATCCCGCCAGCCTTTGCCGCAACCGCCGATCCCGTCTCCTCCCGTGGCGACTACTTCCTCGTTTGCAGAAACTCCATCATTATCCTCTGGAACGCCTAAAAAGTAAAAATCCTCACGGAGCCCCCTAATCTCCGCCCTCGTCTCCCTCATTGAGGAGTCGACCTTTTCCAGGCCACTGTCAAGTATCAACTGCATGTCCCAGACCCGACCAACCGCTCCTTTAATCTCCATCAAATACATGAATTTGTCTACTAATCTATCCCGACGTTCCTCTACCGGTGGTTCGCCGCTCTGAAGCCGTGTCTCTTGCACATCGCAGTTCACTTTGGTCGAGGAGGAGGAAATTCCCTTCTCCCCTACGCCGATCCCCTTATTCTGGACAGCCCTTTGAGCCGCTTTTTCACCCGTTGAGTTTGACTTGGTGGTAACCGCCATCGTTATGCTCCTAGCTCCGGTTGAGAGTTTTTTTTATAATGGTGAATCTAGCATTAACTAAAAAGTCAAAACATAAGAGTACGAAAGCACGATAAGTGCCAAAAACAGAAACCCACAGCAAGAGCTGCTGCCCAAAAACAGAAGGCCGGACGCTAAGTCAACTAGATGACTCCTGTTGTCCAAAAACAAACCCCAACGGAACTAGGAAAAAAAATACCATAAGTGCAAAAACAAAACAATGCAGAACAATAGGCCCCAGATCTGTAACAACAGGTCTGCAACTACCTACATCACAATAAGATACAAGCTAATTCTGACGCCCAAGATGAGCACGAAGCCACTCAGAGCCTGCACTTTGGTAACCTTCCCGTGAGCAACAATCCATTCGATAACTGATCTGATTGCCGTCTGGAAAACTGAACTATCATTGTGGCAAACCTCGTTGAAAGTGCGATGATTCTGCTCGAGTCACACTTGCCAACAAACAACATGAAAAAGGCAAGCGACAATCCATTCATTGATGATGCTAGGACAGTCTGTATTCCATCTCCGAATAGTGCTAGAGATATCGTCATTAGGAGAAAGAAAATTGAAGCACACCCCTTCAACCTTTTCCCAAACCCCTTTTTGGTGAAATCACAGTGAATAACAATTGCTCAATAGATTCCTCCTCTCTACCACAAAGAACACACCTGTTGGCTAACACCCATCCTCTCTTCTTCAAATTGTCAAGCGTAAAAATCTTCTTATGAGCGACAACCCACATGAAAGCAAAAATCTTGGTCGGGATGAAGCTTCACCAGACGAGCTCAGCCGGGAAATGGGGCACCCGTAGGAATTGGTCGCCAATCAGGAACCTACTCATGGAACAAACAGAGAACGACGAATCGGACTGCGGGGACGAAACCAGTGTGCTTGGTACACACGCAACACGACAATAGTCAATAGTACTAAGAAAATTCATAAAGTTCAAACGCTTCCTCTCAGCCCCCCCAGAGTAACACTCAAATATAATTTCCACTCAATACTCTCACTCTCACCTGAAATGGTCGTGATGTCAGAGATCTGGGCATTGGGGAAGGCTGCAGCGGCGACGACTCTAGGAAATGAATCAGCAAGAATAGTGTTAGGAACCCAGCAATCCTTCCAAAACGAAACACTAGCTTCCCCACCATGATCAACATGGATAGCATTCTAAAAACCGTCGTACTCCTTCGAGATATTGGCCCACACAGATCTACCAAACCCATCGTAACACCGCTTGGTCTGCCAATTGGAAGAACCCGAGGGATACTTGATTGCAATTAGTTGTCGTCACCATCTTCCTCTTTCCACGACAAATTTCCACAACCACTAAGCCAACATAACTCTATTAAAGCAACTAACGTCTCGAATGCCCAACCAGCCATTACATTTCAAAGCTTTGCACGTATCCCAGTTAACAAGAGGAACTTTAACCACATCACCAACTCCACTCTACACAAACCTTCTCTGGATTCTCTCAATCCTATTCACCACCGCAACAGGAGCACGAAGAAGGGAGAACGAGTACACATGATGACTGGACATAATAGATTGGTTAAGAGCCAATCTCCCGCCAAAAGATAAAAAACGCCCACTCCAACCCTTAAGGTGATTATGAAATTTATCAATAACTGTATCCCAAGTCGAAGCTGCATTGACTTTAGCACCAAGAGGAAACCCGAGATATTTCGATGACTTTAATACCAAATGATACAACCACAGAATTGGCTCTATTTAGGGATTGATAAGTTGGGGATCAATGAGGGCTTGATCTCACTTTTAGACCAAAAATGAAAGTTGAGGGTTGATTTAGAAGGAAGAGGGAGGGGAAAGGATGTTGCGGCAGCCGCCTAGAGAGAAAGAGATGACACGTCAGAGAGGGAAAGGAAGGGAGTAAGATTAGGGGTTGATGAATATTTGTTCTGTAATTGCTTAATGAGCGATCCCACTAATTGCATAATATATATCTTCGATTCCACTTATTAGGTACGATGTTTCGTGTGTATAAAGATATTCAGCCCAATGAAAACTTTTAAAGCAGTGAGGCTCATTGGAAGAGTTTAAGAACTCACAAATGATAGTGACAAGCACTGTGTCCAAACATATTGAATGATCATTCATTTCATGATGAGAAAATCCTTCATAGCCACTACACTAGTCTCCTTAGATTTCATATGAACACAAAAACTAGCAATTCAAAAAGTATGATGAGATTAAGAATTGCTAAGGGGAGTGTGACATTATTGAAAAGTTTCAAAAATTTTACATATAGCCACACATATATGCCCCCTGATGCATAGATAAAAATCGACATATTGAAGGTAGAAGCATGAACTGCAGCCTATCAAATCTCACCTCACACTTTAAATTAGACAATGTCCTCATTGGCCCAAGCAAATGAATAGGGGAAGGTAGAACGAAGTTACCTGGAACATGGATAAATTGAGAAAGAGCACGAGTAAATAGCTAATGGTGTTTGGTAGGAACAAAATAATAAACTAGAGAAAACAATTAGCTAAACATTTTCAAGCAAAACTCGACATTATAATTGTTATATTTAGGCAAAATTAAAAAAAAACATTGCTATGATGCATAAGAGTAGTCCTACTCATAGTAGTCAAAATTTTGATTTAATTAAAATCTTACGATTTCATTTAACTGTTTCGATCCTGATTTCAGTATAAATTCTATAGACCTTAAAATCATACTCTATTCGTGATTTATATCCTTAAAATCTCACTATATTCAAGGATTTTAACGATTTTAAGGTCCATATTGTATTGATTGAATTTGTTCCAAATCGAGCCGAATTAAAGGGATCAGATCAAATCTTTCAGTTAGTTAATGCATTTTTCCTTCTCCTCCATCAGCATCATTTATTTCTCTCTCACTATTAAATCAAATACTTATTTGCTACAATGTAAGAAAACTCCAAAACCTATCATATTCAAAATGAATAAAATGTTAAGATTGATCTATAATGAAGAAAATACTAAGATACCACACACAAGAACTGATAACCCATATTAATTTACATTTGTGTTGAATTGGAATAATAATCTCGAGAAATTAATATTTTAAGTGTTATGTTCATTGTATGCCTTATTAATAGTAATTTGACGTTTGTTTCTATATGGCCATAAAATTCAATGATTTTACGATCAATTTAATGTTTTTTATTTTACCAATTGTTTTTAATTTATGAAAAAATTCTGATTTTGACTACTATGGGCCAACTCATCAAACACATCAATATAGAAAAAAAAAGCAAGCATCCATTTTTATCCAACACAAGTAGGACTCAAGGTAGGCTGCATAACTATGAGTAACCAAATCTGGACTCTTCTTTTAAGTGGCTGCAGATCTAAGGGTGGAGAATTAAAATAATTTATTTTTCCTAGTTTTCTTGATTGGATCATATCTTCTTCATTCTAACTCGGATTTCAATTTTTTTTTGCACAGATGGAACGAGTTTGTTGTCCTCTACAAAATGATATCCATTTTTAATATTTATTGAGACAAAAAAAATTCTATACCTCTCGTTACCAACTACATACCATATGGTATCTCCTTCGATTTTAGTCGTTTTCGAAAAATTTTGCACAGAAGGAACGATTTAATCATCTATTGGATTTCAAATTTTTCTGGGTGAAAAAATTTCATACCTCTCGTTACCAACTCCATACCATACTATACCACCCTGGTATGGGGTGATATTTTTCATACCATATGGTATGCTGTTATTTAATACCAGTCAAAACCATATGGTACAGTCATTACCATATGGTATAGACTGGTAATAACTAGCAAATTTTTTTTGTTCCAAAGAATATCAAAGTGGATATCATTTTGAAGAGCACAATTAATCTGACCTAACTATGCAAAAAAAAACCGAGTTAAAACGAGTGAAAAATCGTCCGTTAAAGATTAAGGGAATGAAAATTAAAGTTTTTTCGAGGAGAGAGAAGGAGACGCTGATGTGGCGGATTCTTATTGAATTATACATGGGATTATAGCACCACAAAGTTACTCACCGGATCTCCTCTAGGCATAATGCCTCAAATTAGATAAGCACTTATTAGTTATTATCATTACGCATTCTTCATATTCCTATCTTAAACTAGCACGGTTATTAGGTAAATCATGGTGGTAGTATCAAAATATTCTTCACATATATAGGGCTACCCGACACTTTAGACATTGCATAGCAACCAAAGCAGGATATTGTACGAAGCTTTATGTGAAGTGATCATCCAAAAATATAAGAACACACACTTGGAAGGAAATAAAGTACCTTGAGCTATTTTATTTTCATAAATTATGCATTATACAGCCTAAAGTATTTTATTTTCATAAATAAAAGAGAAGGAAATAAAGTACCTTGAGCTATTTTATTTTCATAAATTATGCATTATACAGCCTAAAGTATTTTATTTTCATAAATAAAAGAGAATGTCTATCATTAGTATTTAGGAGAAAACAAAGTAGTTGACAAATAGCCTTTGCTTAAATTGTTCAATCTTGAAACATATTTTATTTTCATAAATAAAAGAGAATGTCTATTATTAGTATTTAGGAGAAAACAAAGTAGTTGACAAATAGCCTTTGATTAAATTGTTCAATCTTGAAACAAAGTACTAGACAATTAGGCTTACGGAAAAAAAATTGGGAAGCAAGGCGGAAAAAAATTGAAAATGCTTCACATTGGGATCAAACTTATGACCTCAAAGGGAAACAACAATGAACTGCCACTGGACTAAATGCCTTTTCTTGTTACTAGTTTGCACGCTGCTTAATTTTATAACAGTCTTAATATTTTACGTACAATCCCGAACCAATTATACGTAATTTTCAAAATTCTCGGGGGCTACTGTAGCTCCGCCACTGTAGTGGGGAAAATTTGTTCTTGACTTCCTGGTTTGATGCTCAGCCTCTGCCTGACCCTTCTCAAACAAAATTTTTGTCAGAATATGATT